TATTATTGTTGTTGTTCTTGTCAAGACAGTTTTTAAAAAGGCAGTTCAGAGCTAGGAGATGATCTTCAGTACCCACGTAAAGAAGCCAGGCCAATATATACACCATTAATCCTAGCACCTGGGAGGCAGAGGCATGCAGTCTGGTCTACCTATCTAAACCCAGGCCACTAGGGCTACATAGTGAGATTTATATCAAAAAAAATTTAAAAAAACCTAGGCCTAATGGCATGTTCTTAAAATCCCATGGTCGGGGAGGCAGCAACAGATGGTTCACTGGCCAACCAACCTAGCCTAGTCAGCAAGGCCCTGTCTCAAAAAATAAAGTGGTGTGGTGGCTCATGTCTTTGATCCCAGTTCTCTGGAGGCAAGGCAGGCAGGTCTGTTTAATCAAGGCCAGCCTGGGGCCAGAGGGAGACCTTGTCTCAAAATTTCAAAAAACAAAAACACAAGATGATATAAAAGTTGTCTGTTTTTGTTGAGAAAAAAAAAGATGATAGCTCCTGAGAAATGACACCTGAGGTTGACGTGGCCTCCACACAGAGTGCACACCAATGCACATGCATCCTTACACACAGAGACCCACACATATGCACAGAGACACATAATACAAAAAAAAAAAAATGGGACTTCACAGTTCCAGGTCAGCCTGGGCTATAGAGCAAAGTGAGACCCTGTCTCAAAAAGGAAAACAGAAAATAGTTCACAATAATAGTAAATAATGTGTGTCGTGTGATTCCTGAAGTTCTCTGCCTGTTTTGAGAGCGTAGACACACTGAACAGGTGTAAGGCTTTGCTGTTTTGCCAGGGCTTCCATCCATATTTCTCCCCAGTGCTGAGCTGCAGCCAGTGGTCACAGATGAATTGGGGGAGCTCTGCTCTCATCTTATACTCATGAGCAGAGCAAGGGGAAGAAACACCCACTGCAGAGGGTTTGTATGGTAGTGTTGGTGCATACCAAAGGGGCTTGCTGCCAAGCCTGAAGCCCTGAGTTCTGTCCCCAGGTTCCATGTGGCTATCCTCTTCTGGCCTCTACAAACACACAATAATAAAACTTTAAAAGTATTTGGGGGTGGGGGTGCTGGAGAGATGGCTCGGCAGTTAAGAACACTGGTTGTTCTTGCAGAAGACCCGGGTTCGAATCCCATCACCCACATGGCAGCTAACAACTGTCCATAACTCCAGTTCCAGGGGATCTGACAGCCTCTTCTGACCTCTGAGGGCATTGCACAGACACAGGTGCACTTACTTACACATAGGCAATACACACATATAAAATAAAAATAATAAAATTTTAAAAAAGAATTTGGGGGGGTGCTGGGCGTGGTAGCATATGTCTTTAATCCCAGCACTTGGGAGGCAGAGGCAGGCGGATCTCTGTGAGTTCAAGGCCAGACTGGTCTACATAGTTCCAGGCCAGCTGGGGCTTAAAGGGAGACCCTGTCTCCAAAAGACCAAAAAAGTTTTTTTGGGGGGGGGGTTGGGGGAAGGAACAGTGTCTATGTAGACCAAGTTGGTGTCCAACACAGAATTCTGCCTGCCTCTGCTTCCTAAGTACTAGAATCAAAGGTGTAGACTTTTTTCTTTTTTTTTTTTTTTTTTTTTTTTTTTTTTTTTTGGTCTTTTTGAGTTAGAGTCTCTCTGTAGTCCCAGCTGTCCTGGAACTTACTATGTAGACCAGGCTGGCCTTGAACTCACAGAGATCCGCCTGCCTCTGCCTCCCGAGTGCTGGGATCAAAGGTGTGCGCCACCACACCCAGCTATACTTCCTTTTTTTTAATAGGTTTTTTTTTTTTAATGTATATGAATATTTTGCTTGCATGCATGTAAGTGTACCACATGCATGCAGTGCCCACAAAGATCAGAAGAGGCTGTTGAATCCCCTGGAACTGGAGTTAGAGACAGTTGTTAGCTGCCATGTGAGTGCTGGGAATTGAGCTCAGGTCCTCTGCAGGACCAGCAAGTGTTCTTAACCGCTGAGCTATCTCTCCAGCCCCCTATACTCGCTTTTTAAAGACAGTCCCCTCATCCAGTAAAGGCCTATTATATTAAGTACCGAGTTCTAAGTAGTGTATCTATGAATAAATCTGAAAGTAAAGCTCTTTGGTCAGTCTAGGTAGGTTTGGGAAGGTTAGGGTATGTCTGTTTAGTTCTGAGTGGGTGGGTGACAGTGGAGTGTGCTGTCCCACAGGGCTGAGGAGGCGGTGTAGTCTAGTTCTGAGCTCATTTTTCTTTTTTTTTTTTTTTCTTTCTCTTTTTTTTGAGACAGGGTCTCCCTGTAGCCCCAACTGTCCTAGGGCTCACTATGTAGACCATGCTGGCCTTGAACTCACAGAGATCTGTCTGTTTCTGCCTTCCAAGTGCTGGAACTAAAGGCTTGTGCCACCATGCCCTTATTTTTCAAGAACAGGAGGGAAGGGAAGGCTGGAGGTTGGTAACCCAGAATGGAGAAGTTTGAAGTCCCTGTGGTCAGGGCCTCCTTTCTTAGAGAGTAGAAGTGTCCTGTTAAAGGCTGGGTGGCACCAGGAGCCACATACCCTGATCCCTTAAAGAGCAGAGACCTCACTGTGAGAACATGCTTCTGCGCTTCCTCAGTCATCTCTCTAGTTGTAATGGCATGGCAGATGCTTTTGTTGGAGATATCCTTATCTATAAGAAATGCAATCCATTATGGAATTTTTGCCTCTCAAGTGCTGCTGTTCTCTAACCTGCTGTCTTTGCCCTCTGCACAGTCTCTGAGCGGTGCTAGAGGTGCAGTTATTTCTAATGCAGTGTCTTCTCTTTCAGCATGCTTTTCACTTCCACTGCATCTCTCGCTGGCTCAAAACACGGCAGGTGTGCCCTTTGGACAACAGAGAGTGGGAATTCCAAAAGTAAGTCTCTTCCCTGCTTGGGGTTAGAAGTCTGGGCCTCGTGGTCCATGTTATTCTCTGGTTTGCCTTGAGCTGAAAACAGCTGGGGTTGTGGAACATCATGGAACATGTCTGGGTTTTTTTGTGTGTGTTTTGGTCTTTTTGAGACAGGGTCTCCCTGTAGCCCCAGCTGGCCTGGAACTTACTATGGTAGACCAGGCTGGCCTCGAACTCACAGAGATCCTCCTGCCTCTGCCTCCCAAGTGCTGGGACTGAAGACATGTGCCACCACACCCGGCCCAGAACATGTCTTATTTTTAAACTAGATTTTGAGTAAACAGGACTTACCTATGTGAAAACAATTAACCAGCTTTAAAAGTTTGCAGCTCTCTAGCTCTGCGAAAATATGGCAGTTACAAATATGTCATGTATATCTAGGACTGGAGATGTAGCTTAGTGGTAGAGCACTTAGCTAGCATGTTTGAGGTCCAGGATTCCATGCCCAGTACTGCCAAAATAAATAAACTTTGTACCATACCCCTTGACAAGCTTCCCCGCCACAGAGTTGCATTGTGCCTTTGTATCCTCTAGCATCTTCCTTTTTCCTTTTTTTCTTTTCTGTAGGGGTTAGGGGAGTTTCTTTTTGAGACAGTCTCTATAGCCCTGGCTGGTCTGGAACCAGGTTGGTGGGCAAGCTTGTGGCAATCCTCCTGCCTCTGTCTCAAGTGCAGGGATTACAGATGTGTGCCACCACAGCTAGCCCAGTCCTTTTCGTTTGAGGCTTTTTTTTTTCCTTTGAGACAGGGTCTCATTCTCTAGCCCAGGCTGGCCTCAAACTCGTGATACCTCTCCTGCCTCAGCCTCTCAAGCCAAGTGCTCTACTTGTCACATTCCATTGGTTTATCACGTGCTCATTAATTATAATACATCATTTATGGTTAACTCAGTAAGTTTATCAAACTTGGGAGTGCACGAACATTTTCATATGAATGCATCGTAATTAATGATAATTAATAGACAAAAGGAATGTGTACTTTTTTCTGAGACAGGATCTGATTCTGTAGCTGGCCCCAAACTGTTGGTGATTGTACCTCAGCCTCCCAAGTGCCGTGATTACAGGTCTAAAGCACCATCCCTGACAAGAAAATGGACATGATTTTTTTTCCCAAGAGAGTAACATTTGACTTGATAACCCTATCCCAAGAACGTATGTCATTTCCACTCCTCCAGAGAATGTCACAGGATGCCCCTTTGGTTTCTGGCCATGCTCTGTCCCAAACCTTTGTTCTCTTGCCTCCCACATCTACACATTGGCACATGAGTACCAACACCCCCACACATATACTACCTCCCTACACACAGAATAAATAAATGTAGTTATTAGACTGGGCACCATGTCATATGTTTTTGTTTTTTAATTTTCTTACCATGGTTTTTATATCTGTACTTTTTTCTGTAACTTGACTCTGTGTGTGTATCCTGGCCATTGTTTTGAATTATCAATCTGAATTTGTTTTTGGTTTTTTTTTTGTTTTTGTTTTGGTTTTTTTTTGTTTGTTTGTTTTTTGGTCTTTTTGAGACAGGGTCTCCCTGCAACCCCAGCTGTCCTGGAACTCACTATGTAGACCAGGCTGGCCTTGAACTCACAGAGATCCGCCTGCCTCTGCCTCCCGAGTGCTGGGACTACAGGCATGTGCCACCACGCCCAGCTTGTTTTTGGTTTTTTGAGTCAAGGTCTCCATGTAACCATATGCTGGCCTTGGTCTCAGAGATTCCCCTGCCTCTACCTCCTGAATATTATTTCATTTTGAAAAATATATTTTTTATTTAAATATATCTTTATAAGAAAATCTTTTTAATTAAAAAGTTATTTGCTATGTGTTATGAGTATTTTATAGTAAGTGTACTGTGTCATGCCCATGGCGGCCAGAAGAGGGCATTGGATCCCCTGGAACTGGAGTTAGGGACAGTTGTTAGCTGCTGTTGTGGGTGCTGGAACTGAACCCTGGTCCTCTGCAAGAACAGCCAGGGCTCTTAACTACTGAGCCAGCTCTCCAGCCCCATTTTATAAGATATACTTAGGTTTAAAAAACAGAAATCAGGTTTGTTAGTTTATAAGATATTTGAAAATTCCCTATTTGTACAATAATTTTTCTTGGAGATTTTGTCATTTATTTCATTAAAGAATTTAGGAGAAATCTGGGCATGGTGGCGCATGCCTTTAATCTCAGCACTTGAGATGCAGAGGCAGGCAGATCTCTGAGTTCAAGGCCAGCCTGGTCTACATAGTGAGTTCCAGGCCACCTAGGGCTACAGAGACACCCTGTTTCAAAAAAAAAAAAATTTAGGAGAGGGCTGAGGACATGGCTAAGTTGGTAAAGTGTTTGCATTCAAATATGAGGACCTGAGTTTGACCCCCAGAGCCCACATAAAATCCCCACCACGTCCAGTGGCATCTTTTCAAAGTTCTGGCTGAAGTTGTTCACGTGAAATAGAGGAGGTGCCACAGGCTTGTAAACCCAGCACTTGGGGGGTGGAGGCAGAATCAGGAGTTCAAGGTCATTCTTGCTACATACCAAGTTTGAGGCCAGCCTGGGATAGACCCTGTCTCAAAAAAATAAAATAAGGCTGGGCACGGTGTTATACACCTTTAGTCCCAGCACTCCTGAGGCAGAGGCAGGCAGAACTCTGGTCTACATAGGTAGTTCAGGCCGGCTGGGGCTTATAGGAAAACCCTGTTCCAAAAAAAACAAAAAAAAAAAATGTATAAATAAATATAAATTGTGTTGTATGTTTAAGCAGGTTTTATAGTCTCAAGCAGGAATTTACCACAGGATTAATAAAGTAATTTATTTTGTCTTTCAGGTATGGGCATTAGAAAAAGAATCCTCTGTTAAGCTTACCCGTTTTGTTACTCATTTAGTGACTTGCCTTCCTGTTAATTATAAATTAGATAGAACCATGTCTTTTCTCATTTATGCTTTCGGTTTGCTGTTTTGAAGCCGTATTGTATTTTGTGTCAAATAAAATGCAGTTGAATTCTAGAATGGTTGCTGTCTCATGTATGTAAAAACGGTGGACTTGAATGAAGGGGGAACCCCTCTTCCAACTCCAGAAAGCCAGCCTTCTAAAGTGGAATGTTCATGACGGTCCTACAAGTGCATCACTTGGTTACAGAGAGTCTGACAAAGCCTGGGAAGTGTGGATCACTGGACCCAGAAACACCGTCAGCTCTGTCTTCCTCCTGAGAGACAGCTGAATGAGGGGAGGACATGGGACTCGGAGCCATCAAACCCAGCGCCCAGTTCCATAGCCTACCAGTGGCCGCCTAGGACCAGCCAAGTCTGCTCTGAGCTTGCTTCCTTTGTGTGGAATTCTAAGAACTAGTAAATCCTGTCAGATGGGCTCCAAGAATGGCTTTGTAAAGTGTTAAAACACTACAAATGTTAACCGTGTATGATATGTTGCTTTCTCTAGCTTAGAAAAAATAAAGTGTAATCTTGTCTGGCAATAGAGTAATTTTAAATTCAAGTTAAAAATTGTTTGGCCAGTTTTGGTTCATGCCTGGTACTTGGGAATCTGACAGAGGTGGATCCCTCGAGCCCAGAGCTCAAGGCCATGAACAACAAAACAAAAGCTACAGTTGTTTGGGGGCTGGGGTGTAGCTCAGTGGTAGAGCATTCACCCAAGGCCCTGGGTTCAACTACTGGCCAAAAAAGGAGAGAATTGTTCTGATTTAATAAGAGCTCAAGTTTCCCTTAAACATATTGGCCATGAAGGAATTGTTACCCTAAAACTAATTCAGTGGCTACACGGTATCTTATTGGCAGACTGGTTTATTGCAGTGGTTTCATATGGTTAATAGTTCTTAGGTGTTCCCGAAATCCTTTCAGGGAATTCATGGTTTTCCGTCCAGCTGCAGTTTATTGGAAACCAGTCAAGGAAACACACTGGATGAAGCAGCAGACCAGAGAACACAACTGTCTCGTCAAAGATTTGCTAAAATGTGAAAGTACATCTTGTTTTGTTGTGAAAGTTAATTTTAATAAAAGTATTTATGTTAATAGATGTTTTTGTTCTTTTAAAATCATTTTCCAGATCTGTTTCTGCTATGTAGAAAATGCTCTTTGTTTTTGTTTTTTTGAGGTTCCCATCAGTGTTTCCTCAGTCACTCTCCACCTTATGTTTTGAGACAAGGTCTCTTCCTGAGCATACAGCTTGCCTAGCCAGCAAGATTTCTTAATTTTGCTCTGCATTGTGGTGGTCCAGGAAAACTGCCTACTTGTAAAACACCTGTTGACTTTTGAGGTTCCCTTAGAGAAGGGAATGGGGATGGGAGGGTCATCTAACTTGACCTAAGATTCCAGATCCTCTTCCCAGCCTTTTAGATGTAATTATGCTGTAATTGCATGTGGCCTGAGTCTCTGGAGATGTTGGAACATACAGGCCAGGGGAAAGGGGTTCCATCTGTGCAGCTGTGGGGAAGCCATCATCCCTGCTCCATGAAGGCTTTATAATGCAAGTGCTTTGGGGTCACCTTACACACTGCCAGGACCCCCTCACTCATGCTCTGTAAGCCCAATAAACTCACTAGTTCTCCAAGGGAAGTTCAGTAGAATCATACCTTGTTATTAGGACCTCAAAAGGAGTGCATAGAGGAACTGGAGAGATGGCTCAGCAGTTAAGAGCACTGACTGCTCTTGCAGAGGACCCGGGTTTGATTCCCAGCACCGTCATGGCAGCTACGAACCGTCTTTAACTCCAGTTCCAGGGGACTCCCAAGCCCTCTTCTGACCTACACAGCACTGCACGAGACGGGTGCACTCACATACATGCAGGCAATACATTCATACACATTAAAATTTAAAAACAGGAGTGGGTAGATGACTGTCTCCCCTGGGAAGGGATTCTCAAAACAACTGAAAACTTGGGTTCTCAGTTTTTAGGTTTTGGGGTTTTTTTGTTGTTTTGTTTTAGACAGGGTCTTACTATGCAGCCTTAGCTAGCCTGAAACTCACTGTAGACCAGGCTGGCCTTCAGTGGTCTCTAATTTGCAGAGATCCCTCTGCCTCTTGAGTGCTGGGATTAAAGATATACACCACCAACCAAATCCAACTTCCTTTTTGTTTTTTGTTTTTTTGTTTGTTTGGTAAGAGACTAGGCATACAAACCTCTAGGTTTAGTAATGAATAACTTCAAAGTCTAACCTGAATCAATCAAACCTCTCATCCTCTATTAGCTGCCACAGGGTGGTACGTAGCAAGTGCACAAGCAGAGGCAGCTGCCCCAATTGCTATTAGCATTTTAGGATTGCCACCTTCACCAGAAACCCCTCTAAGCCCTTTTCAGTGGACATCAAACTGCATAAAAGAGTTTCTTGGAGCTGGGCATGGTGGTGCACACCTTTAATCCTAGCACTTGGGAGGCAGAGGCAGGCAGATTTCTGTGAGTTCAAGGCCAACCTGACCTATAGCCAGTTAGAGGAAGCCAGCTAGAGCTACGGGGGAGTCTCTCTCTCTCTCTCTCTCTCTCTCTCTCTCTCTCTCTCTCCTCTCTCAACCAAAAAAAGGAGTTTCTAGTTTCTTGGGTGAACATGTTGCTTTCGGCAGTGATGACCCATTTGGAGCAGGGGGCCCTGCTTCTTTGCAGGTTTCATGCATGACAGAGTCTGTAGGATGCTGGTGCCTCCTTAGCTGCCCTTTCTTCCATAGGAGAGGCACTAACGACAAGTTCTGACACCAGATACTCAAGGTGGACCAGGAGTCAGTTCCTGAACTAATTGGTAGGTTCTTATGAGGTTCTCAGAGAACCTCATAGTTGGAACAGAGGGTGGTCATTCCCTGAAGGGCAGGGATCGTGTGGTGCAGACAAAACAAATGTCTTAAGGTCTAGGAAGAATTTTATTCTGTAGAGCGAAAGTGTCTCCTTATAACATGGATCCAGTTGTTATGTTGCCTGCCCAGCGAAGTCCTACATGTGTCTCCTCCCCTTTCCCTAGATTTCTGTAGGCTACGACATTCCAGTCTCTCACTAGCTTCTCACATGCTGTGCTTTGGTCATCCCCTAAAAGTCCTCCAGTTGGCCAGTGGTCTCTCAGTTACAATACCCAAAGCTGACAATTGCTTCTCAAGACACAGGAGAAGGCACACACCTGTAATCCCAACACTCTGGGTGCGGAGAGAGGGGGATCAAGGTCATCCCTAGCTACATAAGTGAGTTCAAGGCCAATGTGGCCTGTGACATTGTCATAAAACTGGCTACTAAGATGGCTCAGCTGCACCCAGAAACCCACATAAAGGTGAATGGAGAGAACCAACTCCACAAAGTTGTCCTCTGACCCCCACATGGGTGTACACTCACACATACACTAATAATAATTATATTAAAATTAAAAGCAACAAGGTGGTGCACACCTTTAATCCCAGCACTCAGGAGGCAGAGGCAGGAGGATCTCTGAAGGATCTTTGTTACATGGAGGTCAGCCTGGTCTACATAGTGAATTCCAGGCCAGCTGCAGCTACAAGGAGAAAATATAAAACAACAGCAGCTCTTTCACTGAAGCCTTTTAGACTCATGCTTTTCCAACTTTTGGTAAGATACCAGAATTGGTGGTACAAACCTATAATCCCAGTACTTGGGAGGCTGAAGCAGGAGGATCATGAGTTCGGGGCAGCTGGGCTACATAGCAACACACTGTCTCAAAAACAAAACAAAAGAAAAATAAGCCCCAAAGTCCTTGAGCATCACTAGAAGATTTTATTAAAATACAGATTCTGGTAGCTGGGTGTGGTGGCACATGTCTTTAATCCTAGCACTTGGGAGGCAGAGGCAGGCAGATCTCTGTGAGTTCCAGGCCAGCCCAGTGTACATAGCAAGTTCCAGGCCAGCTGGGGCTACAGGGAGACCCTGCCTCAAAAAGACATACATAAATAAATAAATA